GCAGTGTTCTGACAATGGAACATCTTTGAAGTCCATCATTATTAAAATGTTCTTAGCAAAAAGAAGTCAGTAAATTAATTTTCACGGGTTGGCAACTATTTTCTCGGCGTCTGCGCCCTTGCGAAAATCGCGAAGCTGAAAACACCAGCAGTCGCGCATTAAAACTGCCCCTCCATTTTTGCTGACGTTGAATTGTTTGGCTTGTTTCGAAAGGCTATGGTTCTCTTGTCATTTTTTTTCCAATTCTGGGTAATAGTTCCCCCCCTCACAACGTATCAACACCATGGCGGTTGGTTTGACAAACTTCATAAACTCGGGAGGGATGGTTTCGAAACGCGGGTGAGTCTTGTTCAAGGAACATGAGCACTGAAAGTCGCGAGGTGGAGTGAAGTGGTCATGGTGTTAACTAAATTCAACAAAAACAAAATTGTTTTATTGACAGAAAAAAAAAGTAACATTTAAGAAACTTTATGTCAGAAAAAAAAAGAACTTAAGTTTCGCTAATTTTTTGTGAATATATTTTAGAAAGTTATCACATAAAAATTGAAAATTTTTTTCAATATGAGTTTTTATAAGCACGAAGCAGAGAAAAAAGAAGAAAGAGACCAAAATGACTGGTTCGAGGCCTGTTCAGCGACTCTGGAGCTCAAAACGCGTCTGGAGTTTCGGCCGCCTCCACCAGGCTTCTGGCCCACTGTGCGCCATACGTTTTGGCCCGCTTTTCTATTCGAAAAGTAAGCGAAGGTCCCGATAAGGGCCGCTCCCAAGAGTTGCCCACCCGAGGATTTTCCGTCGCCGCTCTGTTTTCGAGATAAGTTGACACGCAGCTGGCCCTTTCCGCAAATTTTAGTTTTTAGTTGGAAACTGAAAATGGAATTAACTTCGTGTCTACTAGTAGTATTTCGTGATATCGTACTAGTTTTTTAAGTAGTACGGCACGAGACGACGAGACACGAGGCGATGAGACACGAGTCAGCTATTTGACTCATCTTCACGAGTGTCTACCATTCGTGCGGCACGCTTCGAGGCCTTACGTCAGTGCAACGAGTATAACAGAAAATTTTAATAGTAGCAGGAAGCTTGCGCGCCTGTTCACCGCAGGGTCACCGGTTGGGTTACACGCCAGCAAGATGATCGTTGCGTAGATCTTTTGACTTGCGTTGCTGCCGCTGCAAGCTGCGTTTGGGGTACACACTAAATGTCATGGGACTTTTTTTGTCCCACGATTTATGCAATTTTAAGCATATCCGACGCTGATACAATTTTGTTGCCGTCTGGCGACACATTTTATCCGACGCCTGCTGCAAATTGTACTTTCACTAGACAAGCTGTCCCGCCTGGCGGACACAAAATTGCATCACAACCGGATGTGCTTAAAATTGCATCTTTCCCTGGGAAAAAAAATAGTCCCATGACATTTAGTGGGACACTCTCAGACTGTTATTGACTTTTTGTCCTTTGTAAAAGAGTATTTTACACAGCAATAAAAAGTACTATTTCCTCAATATTTATGTAGGATTTTGTTCGTTATATTGACATAAAGTCAATTTGCTATCGACAAAGAGTCAATACGCAATTTATTTAAAAAAATAGTCAAAAATTTGATGACAATTTAGTCCTTATAGAAAAACAATTTTGGTACATGGTTACAAAGGAAATACTACATATTATTGCTGCTTAAAAAACTACGTAAGCAAAGGACAAAATATCAATAATGGAGAGAAAAAAGTCAATACGAGTCTGAGAGTGGACATTCCATGTGAAGTCAACCAGGCCTTAGCCACCATGGGCTCCGATCCGGTTCTCGTTTTCAGGGTTTGTTACCCCTATGGTCCCATGAAGTAATCGGTACTTGGTTTGGGGTCCGTCTCCCCAGGGGCTGGGCCATGGCCAATTTACTTCTTTGCTAAATATTGGAACAACGCAACGTTGGAGGACAATATCTCAGCAACCATTAGTCGTAGGTCAAATCCGAGACCAGATTTGGAAACAGGATGTAAAACTAAATCTTTTTTGTCTTTGAAGTTTTTATGTCCAAAACTTTGGTTAAGTCTTAAAATTAGCGCCATTTCCTAGATCCTCAACCGATTTTGACCAATCTGGGCTTAAAAGATAGCCTAAACCCTTCCCTACACACTAAATGTCATGGGACTTTTTTTGTCCCACAAGTGATGCAATTTTAAGCACATCCGGTGGTGATGCACTTTTGTGTCCGCCAGGCGGGACAAATTGTCTAGTGAAAGTACAAGTTGCAGCAGGCGCCGGACATAATGTGTCACCACACGGGAACAAAATTGTATCAGCGTCGGATGTGCTTAAAATTGCACAAATCGTGGGACAAAAAATGTCCCATGACATTTAGTGTGTAAACAAAAATGTTAACCAAAAAACGTGTTCGGCTTCGTTCCCGAGAACGAGCCATTTTCGTGAACCCCTGCAACCACGTATTTCACCAAACTGTAGTGACGACCGAACTCGATACCACACTGGACGCTCTCTTAAGTGTTTAAGGCTCAAAGCATGCTTCCGGGTTGCTTTTCTAAGGTCAGGGGACCCAAGCGCCTGTCATGCCAACAACCAGCAGACCTGCAACGCCCTACACGGAAAAAAGGAATTCGTTGACCCAACGAAAATGTACGTTGATTCCGTGATAACCGAAAAAAAATTATTTGATTAACGAAAAGTTTGTTCGCGTAACGAATAATTTGTTGGTACGACGAGCAATTCGTTGGCGGAGCAAAAAAGTTAGTTGGAGTGACAAAATCGTGACTTTGTTCCTTTGACGGATTTTTTGATTGCGCTAACAGATTGTTAGTTTTGCCAACAAAAATTTTGTTACTCAAACAAAGTTTTCGTAACTCTAAAAATTTTTTTCGGTTATCACGGAATCAACGCACATTTTCGTTGGGTCAACGAATTCCTTTATTCCGTGTAGTGCCGACAGGGTGGTCTTCCTTCCCTGGAGAGTGCGACAGGCAGCGCGCTCTGGGCGATCGGACCAGTACTAACCCCCGCCACCCCGCCGTGATTTCTACAGGTGGGGGTGGGTGTTGTTGTTAGTTATTGTTGCTCAGCAGGGTGGGGGATGTTTGAGGCGTTTCAGTCAGCATTTGGGTAAAAACACATAATTGAGTTATCATTGTCAGTCTTATGGTGGTTTTGTACTTGTTCTTCACCGATTGTGCTTTCCAGCTGATTTGACAGCACGCTTCAACGGCATTTTGGCATTCATCTGAAGGCATACCATCGTCAATAACATTGAAGATAGAGGTTAGTAGTGTTAGAGAAGATACTTTTCTTTAGCTATAGCCAAAGAAAAGTATCTTCTTGGTATGCCTTGAGATTAATGCCAAAATGCCGGTAAAGCGTGCTGTAAAGTCTGATGGAAAGCATGGTTGTTGGCTTACCTGACAGACGCTTGGGTCCCCCGACCTTAGAAAAGCAACCCGGAAGATTGCTTTGAGCCGAAAACACCTAAGAGAGCGTCCAGTGTGGTATCGAGTTCGGTCGTCACTACAATTTGGTGAAATACGTGGTTGCAGGGGTTCACGAAAATGACTCGTTCTCGGGAACGGAGCCGAACACATTTTTGGTTAACATTTTCGTTAGGGGAAGGGTTTAGGCTAGGCTATCTTTAAAGCCCAGATTGGTCAAAATCGGTTGAGGATCTAGGAAATGGCGCAACTTTAAAACTTAACCAAAGTTATAAAGTTACAGAAAGTTTTTGGGCATAAATACTTCAAAGACAAAAAAGATTCATTTTTCATCCTCTTTCCAAATCTGGTCTCAGATTTGACCTACGCCCAATGGTTGCTGAGATATTGCCCTCCAAAGTTGCGTTGTTCCAACATTTAGCCAAAAAGTAACTTGGCCATATCCCAGCCCCTGGGGGGCCGGACCCCAAACCAAGTACCGATTATTCCATGGGACCATAGAGGTAACAAACCCTGAAAACGAGAACCGGATCGGAACCCATGGTGGCTAAGGCCTGGTTGACTTCACATGGAATGTCCCTAGTGTGTAAGACCCCTCGTCTCCTCTCAGAAGAACCGGTCGATGTGGAGTTGGATGTTTTTCTCGTACAATGAGAAATAGACGTTGTGTAATCCCAAATAATTTGAACACTGAAAAGCTTACCTCCCGCCACCTCGGGTCGGCTACAGCCTACATTGCCCTATGTTCAATGCCTGGCTGCCAAGCAGGCGCGGATTGGGAGGGGGGGGGGGTTGAGAGATAGGCAAAAAGTCCGATGGGTGCACAGGTGTACTCGTGAAGAAATTGGCCCGTACTCTCAAGTTTAAAAAGAACGAAATTCGTCCATTCCTCGCATGATTCGGCATTGTGGGTTGTCTAAACCAATAAATAAAGCAAAAAAAAAAAAAAAGATTAAAAATGTAAAATTTGTGTGTTTTTGAAGGTGTACACACTAAATGTCATGGGACTTTTTTTGTCCCACGAATGACGCAATTTTCAGCACATCCGGTGGTGATGCAATTTTGTGTCCGCCAGGCGGGACAAATAGTCTAGTGAAAGTACAAGTTGTAGCAGGCGTCGGATAAAAAGTGTCGCCAGACGGCAACAAAATTGTATCAGCGTCGGATGTGCTTAATATTGCATAAATCGTGGGACAGAAAAGTCCCACGACATTTACTGTGTGTGTACTCACCCGTACTCATGTTCTCATGAGTGCACCCGTACTCATGCTCTCATGAGTACAGCAGAGCGCTGAATGATTCGCCCCTCGTAAAAGTCGCACATTGCCTCTGTAGATAGGCAACTTTTGCGACATCAGCACACAACGCTGTAACATTCTCCGATTGGACGGGCTCTATTTTACACTGTAAAAATTAATGTCCGGAATAAACGACGGATCCTTCGGCAAAAAAATTGCCAACGGTTCCTTCGTTAATTTACGAAGCTCTTCGTATATTTACAAAAACCTTCGTTAATTTTTTGAACGATCTCTGTCGATTTTACTATCACAATGGAAATTTACGAAGGACCTTCGTAAATCTACAAAGATCCTTCGTAAATATACAGGGAACCTTCGTTAATAAACAAAGAACCTTCGTTAATATACAGAGGACCTTCGTAATTATTCGTCTGGAGTTAACGACGGATCCTTCGGCAAAAAAATTGCCGACAGTTCCTTCGTTTATTTACGAAGGTCCGCCGTAGATTTACGAAGACCCGTCGTGGATTAACGAAGCCCGTCGTACATTTACGAAGCCCTTCGTAAATTTACAACAGATTCTGTACATTTACGATTTTTCTTCGTAAATTTAATAAGAACCTTCGTAGATTAACGACGAACTTCCGTTGATTTACAAAAGTTCCAGTAGGAAAGAAACATTTACAGTGCGCTTTTGGACATTCCCTAAACCCTTCGTAAAATATTCCGTTGTAAATTCACAACACAATTTTTACAGTGTAATGTCGGAATAAACACATGCATCAATATTTTTTCAAAGTACACAGGAGGAGGTAAGTTGTTGCTGCCCGCATTGGAGCGCTCACGTTGTTGGCTCAGGTGCTGCAAGAAATCGAAAGACCTGAACCAATATTGAATGGTGGCAGCCTTCAGGTGTCACGGCGGCATTGAGTCTGACACGCCCTGAGTATAAAGCCCCGAGTCGGCCACACTGTGTGGCGCGGCGCGGCGTTGCTCTGAGTGCGGGACTGAGTCAGAAAAGTTGTCGAAATAAGAGGCGAAACAACCATGGCGTCCACCATATATCTCTCCATGCTGTTGCTCTGCGCAGTGTGCTATGCTGCAGGTAAGCCGATAATCCTTCATAACAGGGTAGGTGTGTGCGCCAGACTACGTCTCAGCGTAACGCGCTTCGCGTTGCTACGCCAATTACGCCGATCCTCACCTGAGGCACTAGCGCGCCTTCGGCAGGTCTTTTAGTTGCGCTTCCACTGTAAAAAAAATCCGTACTAATGTACGAAAAATGTACAGACGAATATAGTTCGGAAAAAAGGACGGAACGGTCCGTGCACGCCATGGGAATTTCTTTGTCCCACGATTTATGCAATTTTAAGCACATCCGACGCCGATACATTTTTGTTCCCGCCTGGCGACACATTTCGTCCATTGGGGTTTTTGCCCTCGTCATACCCCATAGATAGCCGCCTGAAAGATAGGCTAAAAGTGCTACTTTGCCCCTGTAAGTAAGCAAAAAGTACTTTTTTATTAAGGGGGCAGTAGCGTCATTTGCACGTGTTTTGACGTTTTTCGAACCTCCTGTTTAGACGTTAATATAAAGATAAGTATGAATGCCAGAGACAAACGGCAGGCACCATTTGAAAGATAAAAGTTTTTACAACATTTTCAAAAAAAAAATATTTTGTTTTATCATTGAATTAGGATGTTTTGTGTTCTATGCAAAAATGGTCTGCAAAATTACATGATGTCACTGCGCGCACGATTGCAGCCAAAGTTTTTAACTTTTTACCAATCGGTAAAATGCATCTGAAAAAGCATGAAATTGCCCATAAAATGACCCTTGGGTTTCAATATTGGGCAAGAAAAACTATCGAAACGCTCATCTTCAACTTAAGATGGAAACGAACCACATTTTTTCTGGCCTAATATTAAAACCCAAGGGTCATTTTATGGGCAATTTCATGCTTTTTCAGATGCATTTCACCGATTGGTAAAAAGTTAAAAACTTTGGCTGCAATCGTGCGCGCAGTGAAACCATGTAATTTTGCAGACCATTTTTGCATATAACACAAAACATCCTAATTCAATGCTAAAACAAAATATTTTTTTTTGAAAATGTTGTAAAAACTTTTATCTTTCAAATGGTGCCTGCCGTTTGTCTCTGGCATTCATACTTATCTTTATATTAACGTCTAAACAGGAGGTTCGAAAATCGTCAAAACACGTCCAAATGACGCTACTGCCCCCTTAATTTAAATTTCTACGGGGCTTTTGTAACACCTGGCGTCGAATACTTGTCCAATGTTGATGGATTATTGCCCCCTCGACTGCCGTATATCTAAAATAATCTGTTGTACCTTTTTAACATCCAACTACACGTTGATCTTTGCTCTCTCTGCCCTTCTCATTTCCTTCATTCAGCTAGGTAACATCCTTGGCCGATCTTTTAATTGATGGTATTCGTTCTTGCAGAGGAGCAAGGACCAGCTCTGGAAAGGTGTACGCAAGATGACCCAAACGTCAACGAATGTCTGAGGAAGGCCATTCAGTCTGCGATAAGGTCCCTGAAGGACGGTGAGTTATTGAATTGCTTCTAGGTTTTTGCATTACTGAATTTCGACCTCGTCGTTGCTATGCATACACTGAACACGTACTGGTCGGACACATGGCCAAGTTACGGCGTGGCAAAAAGTAATGCCTTAAATTGGCGTGACACGATATTCACGCCGAAGACAGCGCGTTTTAAGAGACAAGACATGCCAAAAAGCGGCATGACAAGAAATTGGCGTGAATTTTAGAGTCACGCCGAATTTTGGCGTGACTGTTCTGTCACGCCGTTTATTGGCGTGACACTTTATTCACGCCCCTGCGGCGGCACGAAGTCACGCCGAAAGATTTTCAGTGTACCCACAATGTACAAAAAATGTCCTGTCAATGCCGTTAATCTATTACCAATGTTTGCTGTTATACAATTCACGGCGTTTGCTGTGAACTAGTTCACGGCGTTCACTGTGATCTCGGTCACAGTGTTCACTGTGATCTGGCCACAGTAAACGCCGTGAATTGGAGCCTGATTTGCAGTACTTCGGTGCTCAGCGGCGTCAAAACTCACAGTGTTTACTGTGGACTAGATCACAGTGAAAACCGCGAACAAGATCACAGTGAATCGCGTGAGCAGATCACAGTAAACGCTGTGAATTGACCTACAGTGAAAATTGGTGATAAATTACCGGCATTGACAGGACATGTTTTTTTTTCCAGTGCACACGCTCTGAAATTCCTATTAAGTATGTAAGCAGGTTAATAGAACACCTGAGCATGCGTAAGCTAACAAAGAAAATAGTTCGTAATTTATGAATTATTCCCTCGCAATTCAATCTAACTATAATTTAGTCACCATGTTTGTTCAAAATACTTTGCATGGTTTTAAGTTTGATACCCACCAAAACAGACCAAAACCTGGAATTCGTCTTCGCTTTTTGAGCCCTGCGACTTCGAAAACGTAGTGGCTTTGTCAAAAACGATCGTTGCAGTTTATTCAATGATTTTACTCTCTTTGTGCGAGAGAATATTTCAAGTATGGTGGGTGGTAAGAACCAGTAGTAAACCAGTAGTCAAGTCTGTACCATGAAAACCGGGGTCTTACCTCCAGATCATTTTCTAGAGTGTCAAGAGTGAAATGCTGTTGGGAACAGCAAATTCCAAAGGAAAGATACAGTTGTGATACGTGCACACTAAATGCTAATGCAATTTTAAGCACATCCGACGCTGATACAATTTTGTTCCCGTGTGGTGACACATTTTGTCCGGCGCCTGCTGCAACTTGTACTTTCACTAGACAATTTGTCCCGCCTGGCGGACACAAAATTGCATCACCACCGGATGTGCATAAAATTGCATCATTTGTGGGACAAAAAAAGTCCCATGACATTTAGTGAGTGTATATTGAGCATAAAGCGGTTGCTTTAGCTCTTACGAAAAGAGAATTTGTATCAGGGCTTTGGTCTTGCTGCCTTCAAAATCCAAATACTCTCGCTGAAAGTGTTAATTCTAGGCTGGCTGTCAATCTTAAGAAACTCTTACCAAACGGTGCGTAAATGAGAATGATGTTTCACACTTCTACGTTCTGACTTAACCTTCTATCAATCCACTGAGAATCCAAACGCTATGAGTATAGCGTCAATTGGTGCAATGCTGCACATTAAGTGCAATGCCTCCCCATTCCCATGCATTAGTATAGGACACTTTCGGGATGCATTGCACGTAAGGTGCAATATGGCTAGCGCATTGCACGTATGGTGCGATATCTCAGCAGCATCGCACCATACGTGCTATACTCAGCGTTTGGAATCTCAGTGTCGATTCGTCTCGGAAAGGGTAGCAAGTAGTCTATCAAGGGTTATGAAGTCGGCAATGGCTGACGCGAGACACTCTTTTACCAGGGTATGCGCCTTTGGGAATGGTACCGTTGGATCCATTGGTCATCGAGCAGCTGGTCCTCCTCTCTCCAGAGAACGCCAAGTGTGACCTCAACAAGTACGACGTGGTCGGCCTCACAAATGTCATTTGCGAGGAGGCATCGTAAGTAGCGCAGTGGTGTCTTGAAGTTGCGCGGAGGAAATGTGCTTTCCTTGCACTTGTGGGATGTCAGAATATGTTATGGTTCTTCTGAGGGGAACATGAGTGAAATTCCAGTGGGATGTCAGAATATGTTATGGTTCTTCTGAGGGGAACCTGAATGAAATTCCAAACGCCATGAAGGTAGCTCGCGTGGTGCAATCCATTGAGACATTGCACCACACGTGCAATGCCATAGACACATTTCAGCTTACCTGGAATGCGTCCCGGAAAAGTCCCATGCTCCTTCACGTGAAGGCATGGCACTAATAGTGTATTCTAGTCGTCGCCGATGGAAGAACAAGGACAAAGCCGGAACTGGTCCCGGCAACATAACCTCCTAGACTTCTATGAGTGGGCTACTTTCTGAGTTTTCTGTGGCGTATCTCCTTCAAGAGCACTTTGGTGGACTTTCGTTTCTTTCAAACACTTTTTGACACAGGAAATAAAAATATTAGTCGACATTAATTTCTCGTTGGAACGGCCGGGTTGGAACTACTTCGTTTCTTTCCGGCTTACGGTTTTGCTCTTCGTTTTCTTCTTCGATCGGCGACGACTATGCTCGTTTGATGCAATGAAAACATCTTCGAACGAAGTGCGGCCAAGTGCGGGATGATATGTGCGACAGGTACCGACAGGCACCCAGAATCTGGCTGACAATTGGCGCCGAGTTTGGCGCTCTGAAAAGTGGATCAGCTTCTAGGCATGCTAATTGGGAGTATACAGCCACGGGCTGCCAAGGAAATTATGAGAGTATCTGGGATAGGCTGTGCCCCCCCCCCCCAAAAAAAAAAAAAAAAACAACATTAGACACAAACGATTGAAACTTCGGGGGTTGAATTTAGTTAAGAGGCAGTAACGTGGCTTATTTTCTCTAGCGAGATATCTTGGTTTTTGAGCTTGTTTGACAGATGAACGAAATTGTCCATCATTACGAAACCGTATGCAACCGAGTTGTATATTTTTACCAAGCAGAAGTTGTGCGCCGACGCCGACTTCATTTCCGAATGTTTCCTATAGATATACAACTTCATTTAAAAAAAGAAAAGAGAATCACGGGTGTTTTCGATCTTACGACCCAATGTATTTAACTTTCTTACAGGTTCGTTGTGACGGGAGACAAGTCTTTCAGGCTGACCTTCGACTTGCTCCTTCCCCAGTTCGATGCTGCCGGGACGTACAGCATGGAAAAGGGATTCCTTGGCAACAAGAAACCAAACCAAGGCTCCTTCACATTCAACTTGAGTGAGTGCTTCAGACTGAAGTGCAACTGATAATTCGTATTCTTCCCAGATCTTGCGCTCTTATCACAATAGATTTGGCATTGCTAGTGACCTAGGTTGTGCTCTAACGAAACACCGAACTGTTTCAGCCGAGTACCGAGCCAACTTCGTCTTAGATGGGGCTTTGAGCACTGCAAGTGATGGTCAAGAGTACGCTACTCTGACGGGAGTGTCATCAAGCTTCAATGGCGGAATCAACCCCAGAGTCCATTTTGAGAACTTGAGTAAGTAATTTAACATCCGGTAAAATGAAGATACCGCCACTTCCTTCGCAGCTCAACGTAGGTAATTGAAATGGCTATCGGATGAACTATAATCATGAACATCGAGTTATAGAGAAACGTTTATGATAATTTTTACAAAATGCTCTAAAAATGGTTTTGGATGAAATTTTCAACTTATAGTCGACCTCTGTTCATGACTGTATTTCATGCGATAGCCACATCAATTAGCTACTGGCGGCTCGGAAGGAGTATCGTTCGCAAAGATAGTCGCGTTTCCCGTTTCCACTCCAGTCCAAAGTGGTATTCTGAAGTCGTAGACCTTGTAAACTAAAAATCCAATTGATGATTTAATCTGACATCATTTTCAGGCCAGGGGCGCAACAAGCTGTGGAACAGAGCGCCCCAAGGCGTGCTGCAAGGCTACAAGACAGCCATCGACCAGCTGCACCCCATCCTCGCGCAGACCTACTCCAACCTTCTGTTCCAGAACGTGCCGTTCGCATACCTGTTTCCTCCAACCAAAACTGCGGTTTAAAAGAATTGTCATGTAATTGTAGAGGTTTGACGACTTACAGCGGAGCTAACGAGTGTCAGTATTTTTATTTCTTGTCTTCTTCCTAACTCAGGCATGCTCCTCTCACTGTGGCAAAAACGTGAACTGAAAATGGAAGCAAAGCATTATTGAGTTTGCTCTTCCCCCCATTTGCCATAGCAATTATGATAAATATTACGATAAGCAACAGCTTGTGCACACCTAGCAATAATTTAAAAACATTGGAGGGTTTTACTTACCATCATTGGATGCAGTATCCTTGAGCAAAGTAGAACTTGGGGGAATGACATTCTTTTGTCCCTGAACGCACTAAATTAAATGGTAAATTTTACATTTTTCTTAAATATATCAATGAAGTAATACTGAAGGAGCTACATTTCTTTACCTCCTTTCTTGAAGAGGTCAACTATTGACCTCTGATTACTCTTTATTCCAGCTTTGCCAACTGCAATTGTGTGTGTGTTAATGTGGTGGTAATAGTGAGATGGACACCACGTAGTACCTTTTTTAAATACTATGGTTTTAACTGTACATGAAGGGATAAAACATGACTGTAAAAAATTCGTAGAGATTTCCTAGACAATTGGGCACGCAAATTTACTTGCCCCGGCAGTAGGGTGGTCCGAAAAAACACTTTTTTTTCTGATCGAAAACGGGTACCTGGCAAAAGTGGCCACTTGACATCAGAAACACACCTGCAAATTTGTTTCCGATCGGACAACATCTTTGGTTCCCACTTTGAGGGGGAAGTTTTGGATTCACTCTCATTCCAGGAACGTGACATCACGTTGAAACGAACGTGACAAAGTGTCACGTTCGTTTGAGCATTGTGTCACATTCGTATGAATGTGAAGAAGCTGATTTTTGGCCCATTCACATCCAAACGAATGTGACACAACGCTCAAACGAACGTGACATTCTGTCACGTTCGTTTCAACGTGATGTCACGTTCCTGGAATGAGAGTGTTTATAGGTAAAATTAGGCAATTTTCAAAACGGACTCGGATGCGCTGCTGATGCGTCCGGATGGTCACTCGGGAAGAAAGACACCTTATGTACTTTAAACAGCATATCGAGCTTCATATGTGGACCAGAAGTACGGCCGAAATTCCGTGTTTTGAGTAAAATCAACACTTTTGCTTCCACAAATTGTGTGTTCGTGGTGTGTGATGTTTCAGCACTCGGACACTCTCATTCCAGGAAGGTGACATCACGGTGATACGAACAAGAGAAAATGTCACGTTCGTTTGAGCGTTGTGTCACGTTCGTTTGATGTGAATAACAGGAAAAGTAGCGATATACATCGGCAACTTTGGCCCGTCCCGTACATTAAGAAACGTACGAATTTCGCATGTTTGACCCTGACGGGAATTAAACCTGAGTCTGGGGTTAAAGTAAACGTCGTTTTCGTCATCAGCACCCTCAAAAACATCAGAAACAATGCAAAAAATCGAATAAAAAGAATGTTTAAAAAATACCCCGCTGGGATCTGAACCCGGGTCCGAACTTCTCCGATTCGTTCGAAACTATGTGGGTAGTTCCTTCATCATTTGGAAAGAAATAACATTGAGATCAGTTGTCGTTGGCTTATACGCTCAACTTCACAGCTTTGCTCAGTCGACAAAAAATTTTGTCGTAGAAAGACTTCCCGCGTTCCTGGTTGACACCTACATGAGAGGTCTTGCATGGACTCAATTTATTGATGACTTGTCGACAAATTTTAGTGACGGAATCTTGATATCAGCCCTACTTTTTTTTTACAAACACCTAAAAGTTTTATAAAAAGGCAAGAAATTCACTTTTTTAAATGTTAAGATTTGAAAATTTATATCCCAGTACAGAAGTTGAAATTGAAAATTCCGTCACTAAAATTTCTTCTATACATTTTTAGGATAACCCAAAAAATATTTCAAGACTTTCCGTCCCATTGAAAGACGCAGGAAGATTTTTCCCCAACGCTCTAAAAAACACTTAAAGCCACTTTTCTCAGAGACCGTCCAACATTTTGGATTGAATTTTGTTTTGGGAACTCACCATAATGAACCTAACAATAAAGCAAAGTTTTAACTTTCTAGGATTATTTTAAAGTCTACTTGAAAGTTTCACCAGGGTCCCCCCTTAAGCAGATGAGTTTTACGTTCAAAACCACACAAAATTAAATTATCGTTTCATCGAAATCGTTGGAATCTCTCAGAAGTCAGATGAAATCCTCACGGTTTTTATCAAAGTCCCGCGAAATCTTGTGAAATCCGGAGAAATCTTGTGAAATCACACGCAATCTAGTGAAATCCACGAAATGAGACAAATCCGGTGAAATCTCTAGAAGTACCAACAAATCCTGAGTAATCACAGAAATCCGACATCGAATGAAATCCTTTGTCCCGCTGGGTGGGGAGTTGTTGCCCCCTTGGGCTAAAAGCTACGGAAAATTCTGTTAACAGCTTGTGGTAATTCTCCGTAGAACCTTACAGTATTCTCCGTAGGACCGTACAGTCTTCTCCGTAGGGCCTTCACATGCAGTACACAAGAAAAATCCATGTCATAACCACCACACTCATCTGAAATTTTGAGTTCCATTTTTCCTTTTCCAGCAATATTTAACAAGGATCCATCTCCTATGGATACTTCACCTCTCATAGGAACATAATATCGCAGCAAATCCTTCCTAGAGGTCATGTGATCTCATGCCCCTCCATCGAACATCCATACACCTTGATTGCTTGTGATTTTGTTGCAACTAGCACTTAAACACTAAATGTCTTACGAAGAAATTTCCCATAATACGAAGGAAATGGCGCAAGCATAGTACGAAGGTGGTTTTTCTTCGTATTACGAAGGTTTTTCTTTGTATCTTACAATGAAAAAGCTAAAAAGATTCTTATTACGAAGGAATATTGCTTCGTATTATGCTTGCGCCGAATTCACTGTAACATACGAATAACATAGGTCAAATTTCATTGTAAGACATTTAGAGTGTAGAGCTTTATATTCTCTATTCACAACACGAGCTTTCTTCATTGTTTCTTCTTTTCTCCGTCTTCTTTCTTCTATTCTTCATTATTGTTATCTTCTCTGTCAGGACACTCAATGATCTGTGACCCTCTACAACAGTAACAGATATAAAAATCTATCACTTCCATTTCTGTCCTATTTCTTCTCAGTTATTCTATTTTGTCGGAATTTTCTACTACTTTGGTTGCTTCGGTTTATTTAAGCTGACTTACATTGAGTAGACTCTTGAGGTTTCTTCTTTAGTTTGAATTTCTGCTGAGTATGAATACTTTTGAGTAGGGAATTCAGAAAAACCTTGAAAATGTCCTGTAGAATGACGGGTAAGTTAATATAGGGCAGCTGCCAAAAATATGGGAAACCTTATCACATTGTAAGCCTTGGGAGGTATGTTACTAATTTTAACACTTTTTTCCTCTGCCCACGACAAAATGTCAACACTCAGATCAAGATCTTCCTCGCCCTCACAGTTATTGTTCCCATCGCATGCACTTTTTCCAAGGTCCTCTTGAAAACGGAGTTAAATTGCCAATTTTCGTACATAAATCTGGAACAGAAATCATCTTACTAGCACTGGAGTGACTAGGCGTAGATGACAGAATGACAGAAGACAACAAAAGCGAGCAAGGCGAAATATACACAATTGGTCCTTGTCCTGCTTAGGAGTATCTGGGCAGTCAACATCCCCTCAACGTCGCATCCACGCTCATGTTCCCATGGGGATGTGACAGCCCGGGTTGGTGGCCCCCCATAACCTTACTCATGCCGGTCTTGATGCACTCGGAGCACTTGTAATGGTTGTCAGCGTCAAACCCTTTTAGAGTAACACAGGATTTGCACGATATCTTCTTACAGAAGTCACAATTTTGTGTTGAGTGTCTTCCATCCAGCTTTTTCATACAGAAATTACACTTCAATGACATTTCGCTGGTGGTCGCCGCCATGCACCGCCCTCTAATTCTTCATATGAATAGTAAAGGAAGTCTCTGAGTCGTCAGACTCCATGGTGTATTCACACTATATATTGCCTACATATAGAGCAATGTATGAAATTTATATTTTTGCCACATATTTTTTATATCGGAAAAGCATCTTGCTATATTCACTGTTAAAAAAAAAGTCGAAATTTTCAGACTTTTTAGGATGAAGTCAATTTTGAAACCCAGTGGTCTGAATTTTCAGACCTCCGGACACTCTGAATTTTTGGACCACCTGTCGTCTGAATTTTCAGACTAGCATGTACTTTGAATTTTACGACTACCAGGTAGTCTGAATTTTCGGACTAATGGCAGTCTGAATTTTTCACCTCGCGGGTTTGAATTCTAAGCCGCCCAGGTAATAAAATTACCACTTTTGTCAGGATGTATATTATGTTTTGGAGATGCATATTTTAAATTGCTGAGAAACATGGAATGCATGCACTAAATAGAGCAGTTGTAAAACAGCTCTTTTTGTTAAATGTAGCACCCAAAGTTGCGCAAAACTTTAACTAGATATGATATTTTGCTGAGAGAGCTTCCCAAACAAAAAAACTAGTCCTCGAATGTAAGACTCCAGAAGATGCAGCTGTAAACACTGGAAAGCAGCATGTTGGATCCAGATGCACACTTTGTGGAAACTTTTTCGGCACGATGAAAATACTTTGGGGACGAGGATGAAAGAGGAGTGACAAATTTCCAAAACGCCACCCACTCCCTCATCACCCGTCCCTTAAGTTTGGAAGACGCAATATCAGCATAAGGCTACGCCACTTTCACAGCCTGCTTGCCGCGGATGTCGGATGCTTCAGAGTGCAATTTTGGAGCACAGAAAGGCGAAGGCAAAACGGCACTGTACACACTGTGCTGAGCGCCGATGAAACACATAAAACGTTGCTTCACGACGGAGCGTCACAAGAAAGATGACACGCGACGCGGACTTGTATTCGGATGCGATGTGCACTGCTCTGGAGACAAGCTAAAACTGACGCATTCTGTCCAGAAATCCCGAGTGGCCGAGGGATTAAGGGCCCCCTCCTCTCCCCCCGCCCTG